TAACTCAACTGATATCTCAAGACATTAATTTATGCTCAACAATCAATCATTCCATAGAAAAATACAATGTAAAAAATAATAAAATATTATTATTAATGTGAGCAAGTGTCTAAGAACAACAAATCATATGACGACCCAAACCCCTAGCATGGAAAAGGAAAGAAACTCTAGGAATATGTTTCGTGAAAAGATCAAGCAACATCTTATCTATGGAAGTATGCTTCAAGACCACTTACCCTTACGCAATCCTATGACGAACAAAGTGAAAATAAATATCAGTGCGTGTTGGTTTTTCCATGATATTTGGGATCCTTCGCATATGCTAGAGTAGCCATTCTATCACAATGAATCAGCACAACATCATGCCGAAGTGGCGTGATGTCTAGATGCTGCAAGAATCACCTCCTCAACCAAACTGCCTCATGTATTGTTGAAAAACAAGTAATATATTCAAACTCCATAGTAGATAGGGCAATGCATGACTGTTTCTTAATGCACCATTAAATAGCTCTTCCTTAGAGCATGAAAGCCTAGCCAAAAGTAGACATCATTCCAAAATCGACAGAGGTAGTGGCATTATGAAAATTGAGGTTCTATTGCCTAGATCATTACTTGAGAGCATAAATAGAATGTTTTAGGCGGTAAACTTTGTGCTCTTGTCCCTTGACTTCAAAACCCTCTAGTTGAGTAAATCTCTTGATCTTGTTCTCCATTGAGAAATGTTGTTTAACATCCATATGGAATAATTTCAAATCCATCTGTGCAACAATAGCTAGGATCAGATGAATAGAGGCTCACCACTGGAGAGATAATTTCTTCATATTCTATACCCTCCTTTTAGGTATATCATTTCGCCACAAGCCGGGCATTATGCTTGTGAATTGATTTATCTGTCTTGCACTTAATCTCTATGACCCAAAAATGGTCTTGCACCCAGGCAGAAGATAAACTAACTACCAAACTTGATTCTTGACCATTGAGCTCATTTCATTCTTCATAATAGTCATCCATTCACCACAAGTAGGTGAGCGCTTCATTATATGAAGCCAGTTCATCTAGCTCCAATGGAGTACACATGAATGTCTCCCCACTCAATCTCAAAACGACGATGAGGGATGATTCTATGATACTCCAATGACCTGAGAATCTTGAAGCACTGGTGGTGTACTCCCACTAGGTGGAAGATCACTCCCATTATCTTCGGCTATTACAAGATGAGGTAATGCTTCCAGACCCTCGCCGAGAGGATATGTGAAACCCAAGATTCTGCTTAACTTCACTTACGCTTGGATAATCATTCTGAATAAAATTAACATCTTGTGGCTCTACTTCAGTCATTTTTCTATCATGATGTTCCCCAAACATCATATAGCCTTTTAAGCTTTCAGAATATCTTATAAAGATTTTCTTGTTAGCTTTAGGGCTTAGTATCCCAAACTTGTGAAAAGTGTTGTGAACATAACCTGCTGACCAATGAATATCCTATAAAGATTTTCTTGTTAGCTCTGATATTAATGCGGATCACATAAACACATAAGGGTGTTCGGGTTACCTTGATCTCAAACTCAATTCGAGATGATCTACTTGTATTACGAGCCTTTAAATCACCACGATCTCTTCCTTCGTCCGTAAAGCGGCTACTAGAGTCCTCAACTTGATTTTTACGATCCAAATCCTAGGGATTAAGATGATGACCCTAGAGAGAGCTTCTTGAAGAGAGAGATTATTGAGAGAGAGAGAGAGAGAGAGAGAGAGAGAGAGAGAGAGAGGATGTGATATTTTTTGGTATAGAATTGTGTCTCTGTCTAATGTAATGAGTCCATCAAATAAAAGCAAGTTATTGAGTCCAATCCTTGTAGGACTCTTGCTTCAAATTCAATTCAACTTCAAAGATGGATAGATGGACTTCTATTGTAATCTAACTACTCATTATCCATTTGGACGCCCCATGGGCTGTGGATCGGATCCAAACTCGATCCAATTTCCAAAAAATAGAAATTTGCAAGCATTTACGTCGAACTCAAGCTTCATGTGACAGCAAAAATTTGTAGGAATTAACCCATTTAAGTTAGCAATCAATCTACAACTAATCATTCTCAACATCATGTAATTAATTTTGAGGAATTAATATATTCTCCCTCATGTCAGATTCGCTTTCACAAAGAGCCCTAATTGAATACTACATTTTTGCCTCTGCCCAATGATTTTTTCCTTTGTGATTTGAATAGTTCAATCTATTCTGCCAAATGAAGCAAATGGTGCTTTTTGGTGTAATTGTTACATATTTTTTCTCATTCACCTACTTTCACCTACTACCACTCCACAATGTCATAAAAACACTAACATCATACTCATTTTCCTCCAATATTGACATTAAGCAAAAATTGTAGTGTTATAGCAGACGGCTATTTATCAATATTACGATACACATATAAAAAGTTTTATCGATGTTACAATTAATCCCAACTTGGTTTTGAAAAAATCAAAATCATTAACTACAAGATATTGACAATTAATATCATATTAGACAAAGAAAGGAAAAGAAACAAACTAGAAGCTATTTTTCTCCTTTTGTATCACCACATATTTTATTTATTTTTGGAATTAATGACAAATTTCTTCTTTTCAATCCAAAGTCCACAGCCCAACTACCATTAAGCAATTCCAATTTTGCTTATTATTCATTGATAAGTCATAAAAGTTTGTCCTGGGAAAACGTGACAGGTTGAATTGTGATCCACTTCCATGTATATCTAAAATATCTTGAGCTGATTTGCTTTGAATTTGTTTCAGGCCACCTTTTCAACAACCTTAAGCGTAATATATGTAGAATAAGCATTGGATTCTAATGAATGATAGAAACCCAAGATGAATTTTTTTTTTTAATCTTCACGGAATTTCATCTGATCTTTTTGGCTAAAAACTATGCCATAATATTTTATAGGAGGCCGCTTGGAAAACTCTAAATAAAGTAATTATTGCTTTTATATAAGAAGGTCTGGAACTCTTTCTATGCTGGGGTTAATCTTCTTCCAATCCAAGAAACCTATGCAGTTTACATGCCTTCGTTACATTTTGGGTGCCTCAGGCCATAGAAACTGTGTACATGAGATTATTCCTTTATTGCGTGAAAAGTGCACAACGAAACCCAATGTAGGAGTTGTGTGACCAAAACTTCGTAATGAGATATCCAAGAAAATACTGGTTCTAACTAAATCCTGATGTAGTCACATTTTGATAAGGTTAAGCTTTGAATCTTTATTGTAAAACGGGACTTGAAATCATGCCGACCTAATAAATCCACCAATCTATCTAATCAAAGGCAAAGTTTTTAAAATATAGAGTAGAACAATGACCTAGATCATCTAGAATTACTGTTCAATGTATAATCTTAACTTACATTTTAACCACAAAAAACATTTAATGACTAATTGTGAGAGCTACGTTCCAACTGCTTATCTTTTCGATTCATATTTTAATCACAATAAATATTAATATTTTGATCACAAAAAAAAAAAAAAGAATGCATTGCATGAAGTTACCCTAGTGTTATACAAGTGATGAGATCCTAGGCGTTACAGCTCCCAGAAAGAACCCCCTTGATAGCTCCAAATGTCCCTCTTTGATGAGCCTAAAATATTAGTATTATCTCTGGAGCTAGTCAATGGTCGGCAACAAGTTGTTATCATATCACCAATTGGACCGTTTCTACTCGATAATTTCGTGATATAAAATAATATATGTGCTTTCTTAGATAAATCCAATAGCAATGATACATGAATTTTTTTATAGTGATCTACCAAAAGATAAGCACAATATTTTATGGTGCCATAGGCAGTAAAAAAAGCATCAAAACAGTTAGTTTATGTCCCGCAAAAAAACAACGCGTTAGGTATATCGCCTTTTTCAGCAATGTCACCCACCGTCAGTGTTCCATGTGCTAGGGTTCTTTCTGTGCTGGCTTGAGATCTTGATAATGGCTGTCACCACGAGGATTCAAAGCATATAATATAGTAACCATGATCAGCCCATTAACTTTTTGTATAGATAGTAGTTCTAGTGCATTTCCCGTCAACTTGGTTTTAGCGAGTACTAGAGATAGATCTATGTGATATAAAAAATTTATATTCCCCATTTCATTCCAACATTGATATCCCCCCCCCCCCCCTTCTTTCTCTCCCTACTGCTTAGTTTGTTTAGCAGGGTTTGATGAAGAAGAAAAGTGGAAAACGAGATGTTAAAAAAGAAAAGGGATGAGAAGGTAGAGGAATAATTATAATATTGTATGTGAAATAAATATTTTTTTGTTTGAGTATTTGAAATAATTTCAATGGCTGAAGGTTTGCTGAAAAAATTAAAAAAAAATATAAGAATTAGGCATTTGTCCAAAAAAAAATAAAAAAGTTTCCAAACTCTCTCTTACACAATTTGATTCTTTTATTTTGTTGAAAGATTCTAAAACCCAGAAAAGATATATCTAGTGTCGGGCAAAAAAATTTATCTCTTATAAATATTTTAATTGTAGCGTGAATGACTTATTTTTTGATCAAATTAATGAAGAAATTAATCAAAGTATAAATTGATTTGAACAATTGACTGCCGGGGAAATTTAAAAAAAAAAAATTCAATGAGATTTGGAACATTGGACACACAAGCACATTATATATTGCTAATGCCATTTAATGCACACAAAAAAATTATAGCTATCTGTGAGATTCGAAAACAGAGTAAAAGAATAAGAACTGAATGTCCTCATTATTTCATGAAGATGGGACTCATATACAGTATGAACGTGTCAATACAAGAGTCATGTCTCACCCAAATAATCAACATACAAATCCACCAATGAAATCAACAAAACACAAAAAAAAAAAAAAGTAATTAAAAACTACTCAATCAAAAAAAAAAAACAAAATAAATATTAATCCGACCATAAAAAATACAGATCTATAGTCGATGATCCTCCATGTGGATGAAAAACCTAGCTTTACATCAAAGCCATGGCAATAAATGTTCCAGTGAGTGCAGTTCCAGCAATGACAGCCCTGCTAAACCCGAAGGCATCACTCTTCGGCGGAGCCTCGGGGGTAGGCTCCGCCGACGGAGTTGGAGTAGCCATGGTTGGTGCCGGCGGTGAAGCCACACTAGGACCTGGAGATGGTGACTTGGGAGAAGGAGATGGTGATGGGGTATGTGTAGGGGTCGGAGATGGAGATGGTGATTTGGGTGACGGAGCCGGAGCGGGGACTGGTGTCGGAGTTGGTGGCGCAACCACTGGGGACGGTGATGGTGTGGCGGTGGGTGAGATTTTTGGTGCTGCCCCTGGAGCTTGTGCTATGCATGAAGTGGCGAAAAGAGCCAAAAGCATGAAGAGTTGGAGACCTGAAGAAGAACCCATCTTCAAGTTTGTTTGTGTGTGTGTGTGTGTGTGTGAGAGAGAGAGAGAGAGAGAGGGTTTGGGGGATGAAGGGAGACTGTAAAGGTTGGTTATATAGAAGACGAGAGAGAAAGTGATGGAGGTTGACAGAGTCTAATGAATTTTATGCTGAGATTCCTGGATGGACTTTAATATATAGAGAAACAGCAAAGCAAAGAATAAGTCATGATTAATGAATTTTGGTGTGGGAATGGGTGGTGTTTTGGTTCTGTTTCCTTGAAGTTTCATGAAAAGAGAGAATAGATGGAACACCAAATTCACCAATCAAACGCAGAAACTTGTCCAAATGAGGAAAATATATTATTTTAGTACCATTTGGTAGTTGAACAAGCAATATGTGTACCCACTTTGTCCTGTTCACAATCTGATTTCCCGTGGACAGCACTATCATAATGGAAACTGATTTTTTGGTATTGCAATTCCATTTTCATTTTTGGTTCAAATTCAAAATTTTTTTTATTTTGCTAAAATTGAGGGTTAAAATAACTCATATATCAAAGTGGAACTGAATGAGCTTCTTCACAGGGAGATCTAGAAAAGAAGACCAAAAATATTATGAGAAAATTTCATCCACACCCCTTGTAGATAAGTCTAATTTTAGTAATACCTCTTCTCGATTTTAAAATTTCACTGATACCCCTTGTCAGTCTTGGTCGATAAAAGAACATGACAAAAATATTTCTTTTACCACTTTACCCTTAACTTTATATGTATATACTAGTTATTATCTATGCTTGAATGTACAAAGTAATAAAAAATAAAAAATAATAAATATATTTGTATTCATATCTAAAATCAAATCACAAACATAGAGGAAAGATAAATGAATTTAAGTATCGGTTGTAGTAGGGGTTAGAGGTGGTGGGCGGCAGAGGTGGTGGTGCCGGTGCTGGTGGTGACGCCGGTGGCAGTGGTGGCGGTGACGTCAAAGGCGACAGTGGTGGTGGGGGCAGCGACGACGGCGGAGGTGGTGGTGGCGACGACGGTGGCGGTGGCGGTGGCGGCAACTGCAGTGGTGGTGGCGGTGGCGGCGGTGGTGGTAATAGAAATAGTGGTGGGCGCGGTTTCAAACATTATTATTATTTTTTTTAAAGTACTTATAAGATATAATTCCTAATAGTACTTTTAAAAAGTCACTTTAAACACACTCTTAGATGCCTATTTTACTTATTAAATTTAGGATGCTAATATTAGCCGTTATGTTAACTTTAAAGTAAAATTTAAAGCGATCTGAACCGTGAAAAATAAAAGTCATTTTGTTTATTTTTTAAAATTTGAATTGTAAGTTACTTTATTATTATGTATATATACTAGTTATTGTTTGTACCTGAAGACACATAATAATAAAAAATGGTAAACAATAAACATATTTGTATTAATATTCAAAATCAAATTACAAACATAGAGAATAGATAAAAGAGTTTAAGCAGTGGTGGTGGTGACGATGGTGGTGGTAGTGGTGGCGACGACGACGGTGGTGACGATGGTGGTGGTACTGGTAGTGGTGGTGGTAGCGACAGTGGCTGTGGTGGTGGCGACGACGATGGTGGTGGTGGTGGTGGTAATGGTAGCGACTCCGGTAGCGATGGTTGTGGCAGCAATGGTGGCAGTGATGGTGGTGGTAGAGGTGGTAGGACGGTTTCAAACACTAATTTTTTTTAAAAATATTTATGATAAATAATTTTTAGAAGTACTTTTAAAAAGTCACTCCAAACACACATTTAGGGGTCTATTTTTCCTATTAAATTTATGATATTAATATTTGTCATTAGATCAATTTTGAAGTAAAATTTAAAGTGATCCCAACCGCGAATAGTAAAAGTTATTTTGTTTATCTTTTGAGATTTGAATTGTAAGGTACTTTATTATATATATATATATATAGAAAACCCACCCCTTTGCCACCCTTCGTTACCATTCTCACCTCCTCCGTCATCGTCACCCCTCAATAGCGTCATTTGACACCCCTCCTCATATCTCCCCCTCCCCTCTCTCTCTTTCTTTCTCCGTCCCTCTCTCCAGCAAACCCCTCCCATCCGTGTTGAGATAGGAGTAAAAAAGGTCAAATTGAATTGAGGGTGTTATTATGGGTGTTGATGCAAGGGTTGTGGTGGTGGTGGGCATGTGAAATCTGGTAGTCAATGGTGTGTGTGCGTGCATGTTGTGGGAGTGATTGATGTCATGTGAGTTTGGAACTAATTGGGCATAACTATGGGGCTAAGTGGCGACTGAACTCTTTCTTCAGGAAATCCCTTCCAGCCTTGTTGAGAAAGGAGCAAAAAAAGATCAAATTGATTTAGGGGTTTTGTAATGGGTGTTGATGCAAGGGTTGTTGTGGTGAATTGGTGGTGGTGGGCATGTGACAATTGGTAGTCGACAGTGCGTGTGCATGTTGAGTGGAGGCTGAACACACACACACACACACACACACACTCTCTCTCTCTCTCTCGGCAACATATATGTGGGTGGGAGTGATGTGTGAAAACAACTGGCTAGTTTGTCCCTAATTTGCTTGCTTGTTTGATGAATTTGTTGGATTGAATGCTTGTTGTTGCATATTGTGCTTACTGTTGCATGTTGTGTATTTGTTTTAGATGGTCTATGGTGGTGCCGAAATAGTGGTGGTTTTGTCGAGACAATGGTGCATTGGAAGTGGTGTGAAAAAGAATTGGGTAAAATTTGTATTTCTGAAAAAAATAAATAAGATGACATCATCATTTTTTTAGTTGTCAATAACGATTTGTCGCATAAACGGTGTTGTTAAAATAAAAATATGAACTATAAGAGAGTGCAATGAAATTTCAGAATCGAGAAAGGGTGTCACTAAATTTAAGACTATCCACACGGGATGTAGATGAAATTTTCCCACATAAAATTGGGCAAAACAGTGTCATGGCTCAAATAAGTTAGTGTTTTTTTGTTGTTGTTGTTGTGGTTTTCTCGTGTTATAACTTCTGTACCAATTCAGCCCTTGTTGATTGTATTAAAAAGAACAAAGTATAGAATAACTGAGATTTGGAAAATAGTAATCCTATTTGGACCAAAAATTTGTCTTAATTTGTTGTGATGTGGTTTCAGTAAAATTATTGGATTAATACCTAGTTTAAATATTTAATGGAGCTCATAGTCAATCCAAATGTCATAGTGAATTAGGTTAGCAAATTAGGTCCCAATAGCATTGCTCTTTGGGAAACCCTGCCTAGAATCGAGAGGTGAAAGGGCACCGAAACTAAGAGTGATAATCGAGTCAGGTCGTGTCGGCTCATTGCAGGTTTGTGTCGAAAGTTAGTCAACTCTAACTCAACCCATTTAACTAATCGTGTCGTATTGAGTTGACCTGTTGAATTTTGTATCGTGTTCGTGTTCAAGAAGGCCTAAATCAACTAAAGGACAACCCAGACCTACTTTTCCAGTCTGACCCAGTTCAGGATCCAAGAAGTCCAGAGAGATAGAAGCACATTGGAGAAACTATTAGGTCATGGAAATCTAATCCTATCTTTATTGTACTTACCAAAAGAATAGTACTCTCTCCCTTACGTCATCTCTTCACCATACTTATATAATGTAAGTCTTCTTCACATAGAGGGCATCACCTTGAGATCTCAAGACACCTCTACATCTCACACACCTCTCTATATCTATTTACACACCAAGTTTCTCTCTCTTAAAGTATTGTAGCTCCCTCGGAGTATACTCTCCCGGTTACTTTATTCATTAACAAAGAACTCCATCCACCATTGCCGTTTCTCGATAGTGGAGTAGGTCATCCGGACTGAACCATTGTAAATTTGCTTGTTTGCTTTTATATACCGTTTTGTCATTGATTATCTTATTTATTGCTCATTAATTATACATATTCATATACTCGATTGTTGATATTACATGAGACCAATTTATGCATCATCAAATTTAATAATCTAATATATTGTAATTATTAGATTGATAATGAATATTATTTAATTCCAGAATTTGCTATTAATCTATTTGTGACAGTGTATTAAATAGTTATTTTGTATATCTCACATATATTATCCTCCTACTCCAAAAATCATGGGTCTGTTTGGTTTGCGTTTCAAAAAATAGTATCTAAAAAACTTGTTTGATTAGATGATTTTAAAAACAATTTTACAATACAGAAAATAATAAAACCTGTATGGACATCCTAAATATATATTTGAACAGTAATTCAAATATTAATAAAAAAATATAAAAAAATTATTTTTAAATTGACAAATTCATAAAAAAAAATTCAATAAACCAAACTTTAAAAAAAATATATATATACACCCCTCACACATAATATATATATATATATATATATATATATATATATATATATATATATATATATATATATATATATATATATATATAAATTCCTATATATACATATATATAAATAAATAAATAAATATATATATTGTTTTCCTTATTTCCAAAATTTTCAAAGAAAACTTTGAAAACAAACTACGTTTATTTTCTATTTCTTTGACTTAAATCTCATTTTTTTTTCCAAAATTTAGAGAACAAAAATGTTGAACAAATAGATTTTGGATGTTTTTGAAATTTTGGGAACAAAAAACTATTTTCGAGATGATAACCAAACATGACCCATTTCTTCCTTATTTTATATATTTTTTTCTTTTCGATTGTCACTATAAAAATAATTTATATATTTTAAGCATATATTTATAATTGGAATGAATAAAAATTGCTACTAAACTTTTCGGCAAATTAACAATTATTATAATTATGATGTGAGTAATATAATTATGAGTGTTGTAATCTAAAACTCGAAATAAAACATGCAAACAATATTTAGATCATATAACATGTAATTTAAATAAATACAGGTAATATATAAACATGCAATCTATATAAACCAAATAAATAGATTTGGAATGAGCTGGCCTGCGAGTTCGAGAGGCGTGTGTGATCACTATCTTAAAGTAATTGAGCCTGCCCATGTGAGGGTACTGACAGACACCAGCGACTCTAAGATCCAACTCAGACGCTCGCAGCAGCACCTTCTAAATGGTCGCATCTACTGAAAGGTTGGAATGAACCTGACTCGAATCGAGTTGCCCAAATGAAATAAATGATAATTGAAAAGTAGGCTGAGTGTAAAAGAAGGAATTAGACAATAGGCCTAAGTATAAAAGAATGATATGAG